AAGTAATAATTTCAAATAAGCTTATTACTTTTTACAAAAAAATAAAAAAATAGTATCTAGCTAACATATATTTTTTGTTGGCCTTAACAATATGAACTATACACTACTATTTCCAATAAACAATACACAAGAATACAAAAACAAACAACAACAAAAAAACGTCCCTCAAAATTAATAAAATTTAAAAATTATTCTCTTTTGTTTATTATTAATTAATGGTTATAAAAAAAGTGAAACAAATTTTATTACCTATATAAGTTTTGTAGGTGTAGAAGAGTATTAGATTGATATAAAATAATATCTTAAATATTTTTATATCACAATTTTTGTTGTATGTGTAATATTTGTTGTATGTGTAATGTTGTATGTGTAATATTTAATGTGCAATTTTTGTTGTATGTTTAATGTTGTATGTGTAATATTTATCATTTATCAAAATATGTTTCTTAAAAATATAAAACATGTTTATTAAATAAGACACATGTCTTATTTATTTGTCTATATGTTCTTAAATGGTTTTAATATAGTTGTAGTAACTTTAGCTTGCTTGTTTTATTAAACACTACAGAACTTGTTGTTGTCGATATTTTGTGGTAAATTTGCTTAAAAAATCAACCAAGGATTTATCCAATGTTTTATAGTCAAAAAAACTCTGATAAAATTTATTTAATGCATCATGTGTCATCATGTGTCATCATGTGTCATCATGTGTCATCATGTGTCATCATGTGTCATCATGTGCCATCATGTGTCAAAAACTCATACCCATATCTATAAAAACATATAAACAAAAAAAAAAGGTAGAACCTTTGGATCACTACCACTAGTCAAGTGGAAGGCATCTTCATATGATCATTATTTTGTTTAAATGAAAAATTTACTAGTGTTACATAAAATGAGATTTTACTAAATAAATATATTTTTAAGAATGCTAATATAGAAAATTTTAAATTTATCTATAAATAATTTATACATCTTTTACATTTGCAGCAAAAACTTACGAGAAAATAAATGAAAAGATTTGAAGGAAAAAAAAAAAAGTGACAAAAAGTTTAGTTAAAAGAAAAAATGTTGTCAGTTCAATACAGCAATTATTATTTTATAATTTTTAAATGGTCGGATTTGCTCAAAACTTATTAAGCTAATCTGCCCTTTTAAAAAGCTCTTATTTATTTAAAATCTAAATGGTTTTATAAAATTTTAGTATATGGTTTAGTATATGCATTATCCCAATTAAATCATGATTATTTGTAAAACCTTTCTTTCCAAAACTTTGATATATATATATATATATATATATATATATATATATATATATATATATATATATATATATATATATATATATATATATATATATATATATATATGTATGTATGTATGTATACTCTTGCTTGGTTGTTTTAATTTTACCATTGTCAGGTCAGTTTTAAGTTGTTTTTTTAAAAAAAGTTGTTTTATAGACCGAAAAAACTTTTCTTTTTTTTTTAAAGTTTTTTTATTATTTGATAGACTGCCTACCCAAACCAACCCTTAGTCAATGTAGCAGCACTTCATTGCAAGTCAGGCTATAAGATAGTCGATGTAGCAACACTCAGTCCATGTATTACAGTTGAAAAATTAAAAAAAAACATTAAAAATGTTTTTATTTAAAAAAATTAAATAAAAACATGCAGAATGTTTTTAAAAACATTCTAGTCTTAATTTGTGGTTTTGTGGTTTAATTACTTCCTGCAATTAAATTAATGTGTTTTGACATAATCTAACCTTAATTTTGTCAGCTTTAATACCTCAAACAAGCAAAGAGCCGTTTTTTACCATAAATTGTATATTGAATACCTTTACTTTTATAGGTATATATATATATGTATATATATATATATATATATATATATATATATATATATATATATATATATATATATATATATATATATATATATATATATATATATATATATATATATATATATATATATATATATATATATATATATATATATATATATATATATATATATAACTCCAAATGTGTGTTTAGATAAGCACTGCGACAACAAACAGAAATAGCTTAGTGTTGGGGGCTTTAGTATATACATTGACTATCTTATAGCCTGCTTCTGTAAAGGACTGCTGCTACATCGACTGAGAGTTTGGGATGGGGCAGCAATCTTTTCTTTCATAGTTCTTCTTTTTTTTCTCTTTTTCTGAAACAGCTATAAAGATAAGCAAAACAATAAGCAGTTCCTGATCTATATATGCTATAGTAGATACATACATATATAGTAGATACATATATATAACTTAATATTCAAAAAGTTGTTAAATAGTACTGCAATTTAATCATGTAAATTTTTGTATGTTTTTAAGAAAGTTTTTACAAGATTTTTTTAAGTAATAAAAGTTAAAATTTTGAATTTATGTTAAAACAGTTTATTTATTGTGCCCACTTAATAATTGGTATTGTGTAAGTCAATGAGATGGACGGTCTGATACTATGTGATGTTGCTTATATATTAGTGTTGACACCATCAGTATCAGTTCGATATTATACGATACCAAGAAGGATGGTCTTGTACTGTGTTGTATTGCTTATGTACTAATGTTGGTACCATCAGTATCAGTTCGATACCGCACAATACTGATAATAAAAGGAATCGTAGGTATTGAATGGTTTCATAGTCTGGAAAAAAAAATTTTTAACATAATTCTCATAAGTGGAATAGTTCTGCATTATAATAACAAGTTTATTTGCCGCTGGTGAGATCTACAATCAGAGATGACAAGTCCAGAGGCAGAATAAATTATTTCCCGAAATTCCTAAAAACCTATTTATATATTTATATTTGATATTCCCAAAAACCTATTTATATATTTATATAATCTGATTCAAAGTATTAATAAGTTTCCTGGTTCGTTAATTAAAGTCCAAGAAATGACTTGACACAACTCAACACTCAAATAGTGACTCTTTAATCCAACAAATTATGTTAAATGTGTTCTGCAGAAGAGTTCATAACCTTTGTTAAAAAAACATTAATATTGATGTAAATGATCTTTCCTACCCTCCAGATGTCAGCGATGAACTCTCAAATATTCTCAGATGAGGATGCGAAGCATTCATTCAATTTAATAAAATTTGTTATAGAAAATTTTAATGGTGACACATAACTTCTATCTAAAATTTTTTAAAGTTGCTGGTCAGGAAGGATTTTTGAAAAATCTTACAGATAAAACCTCAACTCTTGTAGGATATGACCTTGCTAATCATATTTTGGCTCACTTAACGAAGTCTACAAACATGAATTCAGTTTTTGAAAAATTGAGCAGGGGGTAGGTCTTTATCTTAAATATTTTTTGTTACTATATAGGGTAGATAGAGCTTAAGGTTTTCAGTAAACTTAAGTTTACATTATCTCTAGTGGCGTAACTTCAGGATTTGCCATGTTAATAAATACAAATTTGTATTTCAGTAGGCTTTAATCATCACATATGTATTTTCCTACTGGGTAACTTCTAAAATTGCTACTTTTCCAGCTCGTTCAATTATTTGTTCTGATTTATTTCGTTTATCAGGTGGACACGGAAAAATCCGGTCAACTTTAAATTGAGATTTCTCCAAAACCATCGACTTCCTATCGCTTGATTGCTAAACGCACAAATGTCCGAAAATCTACAGTCATAGATATTATAAATAAGTCCAAGACTACTCAAACCTTCGTAAGAAAACTTGGAAGTGGAAGAAAAAAAACTTTCCATAAATCCAAAAAGGTAAAGTCGATTTTATGTTCAATAGCAAGAAATCCAAACCAGTCACAGCGAGATTTAGCAAGAAAATTCAAGATTTCTCGTTCTTATATCAAAAAAGTACTTGAAAATGCTGGAATTAAAGCATTTCATAAAAAAATACACCTAAGAGAAGCTTAAATTGTGAAATTAAAGGAATTCGACGCGCAAAGATGTTGGTTAAAATAATGGCGGATAAAAATATGTGCATAATTGAAGACGACGAAACGTATTGCAAGGCGGATTTTTCACAACTTCCTGGTCAACAGTTTTACTATGAAAACAAAGATAAACCTGTCGATGATCAATTTAAATATATATTCGACGAAAAAAATTTGCATCCAAGTTCCTTGTGTGGCAAGCAATTTGTAGCTGTGGTATGCAGTCCTCTTGTTTTGTCACTAAAAAGACCTTGACTGCCAATCTCTACATCAAATAATGCCTCCAAAAAAGACTTTTGCCTTTTATAAAAAAACACAAATACCAATGTCTCTTTTTCCCCGATCTTGCTGCCTCTCACTATTCTAAAAAAGTTCTACAGTGGTGCAAAGATAATAATGTGATAATTGTTCCTAAAGATGCGAATCCTCCAAATCGTCCTGAAGAGCGCAAGATTGAAGATTTTTGGGCAATAGTTAAAGGAGTTCTTCGTAAGACAGGTGGAGTAATAAAAAGGACTTTCAAAAAAAGTGGATTAATGCTACCAATATGGTGAAAAAGAAAAAATCTGTGAAATGATGGCATCAACCCGCTATAAAGTTCGATTTCTTGCCATACAACCCATCAAGCCCCTTAAAATTAAGTTGAAACTCTAATTTATGTAAACGCATTTAATAATAAAAAAAATTGAAATAAAAAGCATTTATGGTTTTAAAGAAATCTCAATTTAAAGTTGACCGGATTTTTCCGTGTCCACCCGATATTTGTTCTGATTTGGGTTTATCTTGCTGCTACTAGAACCTCATCTTGCTTAAAAGAGTAGTTGCTTTTTTTTCTGCTAATCTTTCACGAATGAAAAACAAATTTCTGCTAATTTTTCACGAAAGTTTAAAATCTGTCATTGTTTTTTAATGTTAAAAAATAATTAAAATTGATTGTTCTTATTTTCTAAATGATTGTTCTTATTTGTCTTTTATTTTTCTCTTTTAGACAACTAAGACAAACAAAAAGAAAAAAATTTATTCTGTATCAAATAAGGATCCTGATTTTGCGGAATGGTTACCCCCTGAAGGTAATGTTTCACCCCTTGAATGTTTGAGTTTTTAGTAATAAAATTTAAGAGTTGTGTTTTTTACGTTAAACATAATTGTAAACTTTTGTTTTACAGTATTTTGTCTGGCTATTTCTCACAATTATGCGCGAGAAAACATTATACCGTCTGTATACCTATTAGTTCATGTATTACAATTTATTGAGACCCTGTTGTTAATTTTTTAACTTTATTTTATTAGGACAAGTTGGTGACGGTCGAACCCATTTGAATGAAAAATTTGGTTATTAAAACTATCCAGAAGTTTAATAATTCTACTTGTAATCTGGAGGACTTCTCTCCACTGAAAACTCCAGTGATACTCAGCGTTTGAATAATTTTCTAATGACAAAAATTCTTTTTTTTAAAACAAAAAAAAAGAAAAGAAGCTAAACATTAAGAACAACCAAACGATTGTCTAATGAATGGATGCATGATTGAACGAACGGAAACACGATGTAACGAATGGGTGCATGACTGAGCGAACGGATACACGATTGAACGAATGGGTTTATAATTGAACGAATAAATACATGAATGAACAAATGGATGCATAATTGAACAAATGGGTGCATGATTGAAAGAATGGATACATGATCTGACGGACAATCACAAATAATGCTTAACTGAAAAAAATAAAAACTTTTAAAAAATTTTTGTAATGTAAAAAAGCAAATATTTTAGAGTTAATAACGCCCATCAAAAATTTACGTTTAATCCTAACCTCACCTGAACCAAAATGTTTGATTTAAAATTGTTTCGTACCTGTTTATATGTACAGCATATATCCCTGCTTCTAAAAAATAAAAGCTCCCGTAACTTAAAAAATATTTTATATACACCCTGATGGAAATATGATTAATTTTTGATCGCACAGCTCTAACCTCTTTTTGTTATATTAAATTTGACTTAAATTCTAGCAGATTTGCGAATTATTCTGGCAGAAACATTATGGTATGGATCCAGCACCGCTGTTTCACTCTATATAAAAGTGAGCATGACGTCATGAGTTTATCAAAAAAAAAAGTATTTCCGCATAAAAAGTATAAAAATTCTCTAACTTTAAAATAATAGTATTTTTTTTTCTATAAATGCTTTCATCTTTGAATAAAAAATAAATAAAAGATCTATCTTTCCTTGTTAAAAAAATATTTACATTAAACGGACTATAATATATTATAGTCCGTTTTTAAGAAAAAGATTCAAACTGGCCAGTTTGAATCTTTTTCTTATACGTAAGTTTATAGTTTATATACAAATCTTTATGTTAAAAATAGAATTCTTTAGGAATTTCATTTTTAATTATAAGCTTTTCTTTCACTCTTTTTTTCTTAACAGTTACTAACAGAAAAGAAAAAAAAACGTGTTAATTAGAAAATATAGTAGAATAACTAAGTAAGAAAAGAAAAAAATTGTCTTTTTTTTTTATAATCAAAGTTTTAAAATTTGGTTGTAACTATATATATATATATATATATATATATATATATATATATATATATATATATATATATTATATATATATATATATATATATACAAAAATGCTGATTTATCGGAGCGGAAACAATAGGAAAAAATTTTCACATAATTTAAAAGTGAAACTGCTAAATTATATTTTGCTAAAACAGGGTTCATGGCACTCAAGGAAAACCTGGAAAACCAGGGAAAAGTTTTAAAAATTTAGAAAATCAGGGAATACCTGGAAAAGTCAGGGAATATTTGTTAAAAATCTGTAAAATCAGGGAAAACTCAGGGAATATTTTTCAGTTTTGTATTTAACTTGAAGTTATTTTGCAAAATACACATTTTGAGTGTTTATTGTTATTGAAAGTTGCTCACTAAAGTGGTTTTTTAATTTTTATATTATATAGTAACTATATGTTTAGCTAAATGTATAAATAAAATTAATAATATAAGACATGACTTCAGAAAATAAAGACTTATTTTCAAGAGGATTGGTTACAGCGAGATATTTATAAAGGTTGGTTAGTTCCCAACGCACATGCAAAAACTAAAGCTTATTGCAAAAAATGTAAAAAATCATTTAAATTATCCAATATGGGTATTCAGGCTGTTAAAAGTCATGCAGCAGGTATTTATATTAACTTTTTTAACGCAAGAGTGAGAATTAAAAAGAAATTTTGCTTGATTGATTCATTATTTTGTTTTTTAATATCAGTTTTAAACACATTGTAATCAACTTTTAATTGCAACCTGTTTCAGTTGTTTTCTTTGTTGGTTGGTTGCTTATATTGTTATTTAAAACTTTGCAAGCTAAACAGATTGAGAAAAAAGATAAAAAATTTTAGGCATTTTTAAAACTTAAATGTTTAATTATTTATTTATCTTGTTTTAGGTAAGAAGCATCAGTCTGCTACAAAGCCTGTTAGTTGTTTCTTTATTAATGGCAAAGAGTTGCATGCTGAACCACTTGGAAGTGAAGAAAAAATATCCACATTTTTCACCAAAAAACAAGCAACTATTGTCTCATTAGTTGATAACGATGAATTAAATCATCGTTATCAACTAATGCTGAGATCATATGAGCCCTGAAATCTACAATGAGCTGCTACTCTAATAACTCATGTGCAAATTTTCAACGACACTTTTAAAAAGATGTTTCCTTATAGCAAGGTAGCAGAAGATTTCACTATGAGCACCTCAAAAGTATCATACATTGTTAACCATGGACTAGCCCCATACTTCAAGACACTTTTAAAAGAAGAAATCACAAAGTCTGATTGTTACATTGTATCTTTTGATGAGAGTTTAAACGACATAACCCAAACTTGTCAGATGGATCTACTTGTTCGGTATCGGGATGGTAATGATAAAGTTAAAGTGAGATATTGGACATCAGCATTTCTTGGTCATTCTGCAGCTTCTGACCTTCTTACACATTTCAAGGAAAACTTATTAAGATTTGATTCAAGTAAAATGTATCAAGTTTCCATGGATGGACCTCTACGAATCTGAAATTTCTAGATAATCTTAATAAACACAGAAAGGACAACGAGATGCCACAACTTATAAATATTGGAAGTTGCTCTTTGCATGTAATCCATGGTGCTTTCAAAACAGCTATCGAATCAACAACATGAAATATTAAAGAAACTTTAAAAGGGTGTTGGCAAATTCTTCATGATAGCCCAGCTAGACATCAAGATTATGAAACAGTCGCAGGTGCAACAAAATACCCTCTTTTTTTTGCGGAACAAGATGGGTTGAAAGTAAATCTGTTGTAGATCGTTGCATTGAAATCTGGCCAAATATATGTAAGTTGATTGAGTTTTGGGAAAAGTTACCATCTTCGAAACAACCTAAATCAAAAAGCTTTTTAAATGTAAAAAAGACTGTTAAAAACTTATTATTTTAAAATTTGAAGTTTTCAGTTTTATTCCAAGCATAATAGAGCCATATTTGTTGGCATACCAAACTTTAAAATCAATAAAATCTTGTTTCGTACTGTTTGTGAAACAAGATGTTATTTATTTTCAGTCCAACTAAAAGAAGTTGATTTACATAAAAAATCTACTTAAAAGAAATCAAATCAAACTAGGGTTTGCAGCTGAAACAAGACTGGTTGCTTTACGAAAGAAAGATATAACAACCATTGCTGATATTCAAAGTTTTCACAAAGATTGCACTAACATGTATGTTTGATTGATTGAAAAGTTCATGGACCGAACTCCACTAGGATCTATCATTGTACGCAACTCTCAGGTTCTTAACCCAAATGCAATGGTAGTAATGACTGAAGAAGATGCTGAGAAGAAGTATAAATCTTTATTGACCCACTTGATTAGCTTGAAATTTGTTTCATCAACCTTTTCTGATAAAGCTATAAATCAATTTGCAGATTTCTTTAGAGAATCAAGGGTTTATTAAGACATCTTTCATGAACTCAATCGAGAAAGAGATAGCTTAGACGACTTCTATTTTAAAAAATTTAACCTAAATAAATATAAAGAGATTGACTGTTAAAATATTATTAACACTAAGCCATGGACAAGCCTCAGTTGAGAGAGGTTTTAGTATAAATGCCACAGTACTAGAACTGAATTTAAATGAAAAATCAATAACTGTAAGACGTTTAGTCAAAGATCATATGCTATCAAATAATCTTCAGCCGCATAGTATTGAAATTACAAGCAAAATGATCATCAGCGTAAAATCGGCACACGAAAGATATAGAAGCTACTTAAATTCAATCGCAGACACTAACAAAAAAGAAGCAAGTCAATTGGTAAAAAAAGTTGTTAGCGATGAAATAAAAGATGTTGAAACGAGGCGAGATCAACTGAAGAAAACCAGTGAAATTTTGCTGTTTGATTTTGTAAAATTTGTTGAGGAAGCAGAGGAGAAGCAAGATCTAGGGTTAATTTCTAAAGCTAATGCGATGAAGCGAAAAGTAAATGAAAAAAATGAATAAATAAAGAAATTAGAGCTAGCACTTTGCATCTTAGAGCAAAAAAGAAAGTTGCTAAAATAATATATTCGTTCTCACATGAAGTTTATATTTTGTTAACAAAACACATTAGTTTTTTCAAAGCATATATAAAATGTTATTTTTTTAATATATTTCTTTTAGTTATCAGATTAATATGTTTCTTGTTTAAAACACCTTTAACAGATTGCTATAAATTAATTAAAGACAATCTCTGATTTCTTAAAAAATAGTGATAAAAAGTATTTAGGGAACAAGGATTCAGTTGCAAAAGTATTATATTTTTCAACATTGATAGGCAAAATATTTAGACTTTTCACCGCACGAACTCAGGGAAAAAATACTTGAAAATCAGGGAAAATCAGGGAAAACTCAGGGAAAATGATTTTTAAAAATTGCCATGAACCCTGTAAAATTAAGTTGTAAAACATCAAAACATCGTAATTTTTCTTTTTCTAATTTTTCTTTTTTGTGATATTTTGGTCTAACTTGTATAGACCATCATCAGACGTAAATTGTAATTTACGTCTGATGATAGTCAATTTTACAACTTATTTTAACTTTACGTACAACAAGAAATGTCACTAAAACACTTAATGCTAAAATTAAGTACTTTTAAGTTTTTCAATTACATTTATAATTATATTACTTTCAAATTAAGTACATTTAAGCTCTTCAATTACATTTTACTAAAATATTTATAATAAAGAAAAAATTAAAAAATTTTCCCTACTTCTTTTACGCATGTTTAAAATGTTACTCTTAAGTTACATTATATTTTGTTAGAACATATTACAATAAAGAAAAAATTGAAAAATTTTTCCTAAAGTTTTCCTAATTTTAACTCGTGATATATATATATATATATATATATATATATATATATATATATATATATATATATATATATATATATATATATATATATATATATATATATATATATATATATATATATATATATATATATATATGTATATATATATATATTTAATTGTTGATAGGTATTCTGTTAAAAATATAGCTCTTGTCTGCTTAAGAGTGATCAATATTTCTTTGTAAAATAGATCGAATTATATTTATATAATTTAAATGAAAAAAATACAACTTTTTATGGAACTATTAGTTTCATGCCATTCGGCAATCATTCAGCCATATTATTCAAAATTTACAAAATAAAACACCGTTAAAAAATACAATTTTTTAGCGTTGCAACGGTATCTGACGTCAAGTTTACGTCAGACGATATTATAGGTTCTTA